CCACCAACGGTGGCTTTTGTAGCCATGTCGTTCTTCCGGGGTCAACCCGATGTAGAGACGCGCTTATGCACGGCAGTTAACGTTGCGATACAAGCCGGAGATCCGCATCAATTGCAGTCCATCGTACTGCTGGAGCCAGGCGAAGGCAATGTTTTCCCGCCAGACCATCAAGAGCTCATCCAGTCCTTGCAGCAGAATTACCCTGCAAACAACGAACAGTCCGAGAAACGTCTCGAGGATCTTGTCAGGCGAGTTGTCACTGAGACTGCAGAGTCTGAGGATGAGGAGGGCAGACCTATTCAGTCTTGGGGTTCGCTTGTCACCTTCCTCGTCGGATGGATGACCTTTCTCCGAGACATGGACGCAGAGAACCTTGTGTTGATTTTCGAGCTGATGACAGACCTCCAGTCGTATGTTGACGGAAGTGACCATCAAAGTACTTCATGCTAACGCGACTCCAGACGTGCAAATAGCGCATTGCAGCATCCTACCAAAGGCATCCTGATGCTTCCCACCATCATGTACTATGCAAAGGTATTCGCAAGAGTAGCGATTGGATTAGAGAAGAGACCGGACTTGACGATGCATCTCATTACCACCGACGCGGACGAGGATGGCCAAAGCGAGTCATTGCCAGAGCGGGCAGCGAATATCGTGCGACAGGCCTTCATCATATGTCTCAACGACCGCAACACTGTGCCCGGAGGTATCAAGGACGGTAAGCCTGACGGGAAGAAGGTTGGAATCTACAAGATGGCAAACATATGTTTGAAGACCCTCTTCCAGGCCGATAAGCTGGGGAGCTGCGAGACCATCTTCAACAACATATCGAACTCCTCACCACCATTACACATCTACCCGGCTGCGGAGCGCATTACCTTCCTTTATTACCTCGGGCGGTACCACTTCAGCAACACCAACTTCTACGGAGCTCAGCTCGTTCTGGAGCTAGCATACAGAGGTTGCCACGGGCAGTGTCCAAAGCAACGTCGCTTGATCGCAGTCTGCCTTGTCGCTGCCAACATACTCCTCGGTCGTTTCCCAAACGAACTCATATACAACGACCCTGCATGCGTGGGCTTCCGGGAAGTGTTCGAACCGCTGTGTCGTGCGATTCGTAGGGGAGACCTCGAAACGTTCCGTCGGATAACGAACCTGGATCTTTCCCACCCAAGTGCCGAATTCATGATCAAATACCGTATTTTCTACCCAATCGGGAACTATTGCGAGCCCCTCGTATGGTGGTCACTCCTCCGCAAGGTATTCATCCTTACTGGAAGCATAGGGGAAGCATCGAAATCGGCTGCTTTGCTCGACCTCAATGCAGCAGTACTTGTATTTCGCTTTCTGGAGGCACGCTCGCTCATCAAAAACGCCGCAATGGCCGCGCAAGACCGTGGTCCCGGCCGTCGCAACTTTGGTCACATCTACCAAGACCATGCATCAACAAGCAAATCGACATACATCGACCCAGACTTTATCGGCATGGAAGGGGTGCAGCCGTATACTCACGAGTATGACTTGCTGGAGTTGGAATGCATATGCGGTAGTCTCATCACCCAAGGTTATCTGAATGCGTACATTGCGCAGGCGAAGCAGAAGTTGGCCATCCAAGGTGTCAAGACGGGAAACTTGAGCGCTGGCTTCATCAACCCGTGGGAAGTCAACAAGGAGAGGAACAAAGACGAGGTGCTTGGATGGAAGAAAGAAGCTGGAGGCGATGGAGGACAGGTTGTCAGGCTGTCGTCCGCGGCACCGGCTGGGATGTAGAGGAAGATCGCGCATGATACCCTGATACCGAGATTGGATAGGAATATATGCCAGTAAGACTCCATACGTTGCTCGCGCTAATATTCCGGATGAGAGTCCAGCCAAGAAGTCCCAAACGCCGATGTTCTTGCAGTACCTGCAAAGCACGAACCCACTCCAACGGTCGTACCGCCAGCACCGTTATTGCCCACCCATCTCCAAAGCCTCAGCAAACTACGATGACCGTGTTGCTTCGAACCCTCTTGTATTGAACTCTTTTCCCTCGTCGTGGTCTCGGATGATCTACAGTAGAATCGCTGTCACCTGTATGCTGTCAGCACCGCATCGACAAAGTGTACCGCGCATACGCACTATAGGAATACTTTCTCGACAAGCCCATGCCTCGACGTCTGGCGAGCCAGGTTTTGAACACGAACCCAACGCAAGGGATGATAACGACAATCAAAACACCGAGCAATCCAAAGAGCGCTTCCTTGGACCATTGAGGGCTGGTGATAGATTCATCCGGAGGAGTTGCGTTGGGGGAGACGGCTGTGTGTGATTAGGACTGCGAGGCCGTAGACTGACTAAGCAACATACTATTTGAGGGTATTGCCGGCATTTGCATTGGAATGGGAGATAAATTGTCGCCCTAGGGAAGACGATGCCTCTGTAACCAAGACGGAGCATCCCTTGGCCTTCAAGTCAATTTCCGAGGCCTGTAGTCTATCTAAGTATCCTTTTCTTAGGGGCATAAAAGTGGAAAGATTAGACGCAATCAAGTATAGAGCATCGAAGAGTCCTTTTTTAGTAATCAAGTCTGAAAAGGGTTTGAGGTGAAAGTTGTAGTGATGTTCGATGAGATGTTTCCCTCGAATAATCAGCAGGGAGGGTGAAGGGGATTAAGTAGCACTTCAAAGGGCTGTGATTATTCGTGCCAAGAATTACTGTGGTTGGGCAGGCTGCGAAATCACCACATGACGCGGACTGTCTTAAGGTGGCAACGAAGATGAGTGCCAAGAACTTTCGTGGTCGGAAGTCATAACGGGAAAGGTCGTGAAGAGGCGGCGCAGCTGTACCTCAGCCTTCAGGCAGATAAGATTGATAGGCGGGACTACTCAAGCTAAGTAGCATGATGAGAACACGGACCTGACATAAATAATTGTGGTCTCGCCTAGAGCATGCTGAGTCTTGTTAGTTGTCGCTACGAGATGTGCATACACATAGCAGACCATTGACGGGGAAAGCCAAATGCTTCCAAGGTTGGTTGGCAAGGTCAGCTTTACAACCTTCTTCGTGAAATGCTTAATCACATAAGAAACTGCCCTTTATACAGATTCCAGAATAGGGCTTCTTTAATGTTCGGGCTTCTTATTGTGTTGCGCAGTGTGTGTGTGTTGAGCCTGCAAGGCGTTCCATTGCTGGCTACATAGGTACGCTTGTGGTGTGGGGATTCGCGGGTACGGGTGGGCCGCCTGCCATGCTAGCGAACCGCCCCGCGGTCGCGCGTCCGACACAAGCATCACCTTCACATAGTGCAGTTCACTTCGCTACGCTATAACACAGGCATCTCTCACTTGCGATTCTAGTGCCCTATCACCGACCGCCTTCTTGAATCCGCGATCGAATAGACGAGAGCCAGCGCGTGTGCCATAACCCCTTCCAATCATTTTCAACCCACCTTCCCATAAGATCCCCGACTTGTATAGGAAAGCTTATTATAGAATACAACACGACGGAGGAGGAGAAGCAAGATGTTATTTAGTAGTCTAAACTAATCTCTGTTAAGCAGTTTAACAACCCTGCTTTTATAAATTAAAACTTTAATAATAAGGAGCTAAGTTTTAGGGGCAATAGCACTTTAGAGATTCTACAGGTTATACAATTACTAGAGAGATCTAGCACTACCTACTATATAGTTAGCATATCTGCTCTAATCTATTATAGCGCTGCAAGAGGACGTAAAGTAAGCTTAAAATAACAATCTAGTGTCTGCTTATTTTAATTGTTATATTACTAACTAAAACTACTAGGACTAGAAGGTGTGCGTGCCTATAAAAAAGCTTAGAGATGCGTCTGCACTTCTAAACTCAGTTAACACCTACGAAACCTATCTACCTCGCCTACCCGGTATGCAATCATTACTCCATACTTTCCCACGATTCAAAATCGTAGGCAAAGCAATGTGCTTTACCTTGATCCCCTCGGACGACGCGCATATCGACTGCATACCTACCAATATTGAGCGTAGCCAAATGGATCTGCCGTATCCGACTCTAGAGATATTTACACAGAGTCTTCTAGACACCAACGACATGGTCGCACTCACAGACCTCATAGACGGCATGAATCTGACCGAACAATGGGGTTTAGATCATCTGAAACTTGACGGCGAGAATGATTTAGCGTGGGTATTGCGAAAGAACGAGAAGATTCGAGCTTCGGTTCCACTCACCTTCACCTCGTGTCTCCGGGAACTTGCGATTAAACCCATCAACCTGAAAGAGACTTGGATTGAGATTGTCCGAACTAAAGAGCGTCGTATTGGGGAGGAATTGGTAGGGGCGGACTTGGCTACGCGGTTCCGTGGACGGGCATCCCCGGATCCGAGGACCAGAGAGAGGAACTGCTCATAAGGTAATAGTTACACCGCGGCTAAGTTTGGTGTTTTAGATGCGGAAAAGCCCTTGGCGCCCTGACACCCTTCAGCAAACGACGACGATAGTATTGCCTCGACTTCTTTTGAACCTCCACTGTTTTCTTAGCGATGATCCCCTGGCAGCTGCATCAAGATGTCTGGTATCCATATCATTTCTCCTTAGTCGTGCGCGATCTCGACGCCATTGAGCCACCAACCTTTGCAAAGTACTCGTTCAGGTGTAGACTTCATATACTGATGTATGCATATCTTTAGTACGAGCCCAAAGAAAGGCAATAGTACCATGATGACGATGCCAAGTAAAGCAAAGATTGCTTCTTTTGACCATTGCGAGTCTGGTACGTTCGGTATCGTGAGACTCTTTGGGGACGAAATGAGCGGTGCTAGACGATGATGTTAGTATCTATCATGCGCTAGTGCTTGAACCCCGCGTGATAACAAGTTGTGTAACTCAATCGAATTCAGGCTTGCGGCACCGTAATCGCGCGATGAAGGCTGGAAGAGTATGTTTGTCGGGCCAAAGGGCCGAAGAAGATCAACTCTACAAGATCCATTTCGTATGATCTATCTTACACCACCGCTTGTTGTCCGTCTATTGCCCAACGTTGGTGAAGCGCAGGTACTTCTTTACCTCCCTGACATCGCCAAACTTCTTCCTGGCATCCTCAGTGCTGACGCTGGGTGGCACGATGACGTCTTGGCCCTTCTGCCAGTCAATAGGTGTAGCAATGCCCTTCTTGTCTCCTGTCTGCAAGCTGTCGATGACTCTCAGAACCTCGGCGGTGTTCCTGCCGGTGCTCGCAGGGTATGACATCGTAAGGCGGATCTTCTTCGCTGGGTCGATGATGAAAACCGAGCGGATGGTGAAGGCAATGCCGCCGTTCTTCTGGAGCGAATCGAGGTCGTCTTGCGAGATCATATCGTAGAGGAAAGCGACGTGGCGGTCGGCATCGGCGATGATGGGAAACTGCACGGTGGTGTTGGAGGTCTCATTGATGTCGGCAATCCACTGATCGTGAGAGCTCAGGTCGTTGGCGCTCTGCAGCAAGGTCAGTAGACTGATCCTGGTCCGTCAATGACCCAATGGACGCGTACCAAGCCAATCATCTGGACGCCTCGCGCATCGAATTCATCCTTGAGCTTCGCAAAGGCCCCAAGCTCAGTCGTGCAAACGGGTGTGAAGTCGGCAGGGTGGCTGAAGAGGATAGTCCACTTGTTGTCCAAGAACTTGTGGAAGTCCTACTCGAAGTCAGCATGCGTTGCGCAGCATTCGTCGGAGAAGCTTACCATGTCGCCATGGGTGGTCTTCGCCTGGAAGTTAGGCGCTGCGCGAAGTCAGTACCGTTGATCTGAGATATACTCCAAACACTACATACCAATGGATCCCAGCCTCAGTCGTGGCTGCTCAGCTGGAAGCGCGATCCCGCGACGGAGTAGCGGGGCAGCAGGACGCTGTACCCGCAGGGCAGGACGCGCCGAAGCGCGAAGAGCTCGAGAAGCTGCACGAGGGAAGAATGAAGCCATTGTAAGGTTTTTAGAATACAATCAGGTATCTGAGATGTGTTCTGGAGCTTTGGAGCGTAGCTCGCGGCGGCAACGTCGATTAGTAAAACGGGGACTTTTCGACATGGCGTCATGTCGAATCAAAAAGCCCCGCCGGTCCGAAATCGGCCGTCTCTACCTCTTCGTGCAGTAATAATTCCAACACCGCGGAGGCATTCTGTCGGACATCCATCGCAAGCATCTGGAGTACGAATTGACGTTGCGCGCGGACAGCAGCAACGACCCTGCCACGCGTGTGCCACGCGACGGTATCCAACATGACGTCAGCGTGCGTGCATTAGCACCAGCGAAGCCACCGACCATATCTCACACATTTCCATTTACTTCCCCATCCTTGATGGTTATGTCCAACTCATCCTCTGAAGCCAGCATGATTGGAACAGTGAAACCCTTCCACAAACGGGCGGGAACCCTGTCGCCTTCTCCCTCTTCCTTCTCCAGCTCACCACACCACCATGTGCAACCCTTTGGACGCATCCGAACTATATATCGGCCATCCTCAAGGGTTCGGAGCGTGCGTCCAATATCGAATGAACTGACTAATGGGATTCCAGGTTTCAAAGTGACCAACTCATCCATTTTGGCTCTCAGGTCGGTTTTCGCATGCCGCAATTGGCAGATGCTGGTCTGTTGCCTGTGCATCATTTTACCAGTCGCGGCATTGACGATGAGAAAACTTGATGTGGGCAGACGATTCAGCTCTGACTGATCGATGACCCTGCGGCGACCGTCGAGGGTATTCGTTTCGGTAGCTGAAGGACCCCATGGGACGAGGAACTTCTGCTGGCCCCGTGACTGTACGGTCACAGTCTCGGAGCCACTATTAACGACAGTGATTTCCAACGATATATCATTGACGAGACACATGCTCGTCACTAGTCGCGGTGGAAACTTTAGGTCATCGACGACCTTGAAAGCTGCATTACCGTGGCGCCAGCTGTTGACTAGTCTCACTTCCTCGCCATCTCCGTCGCTGTCGGCAAAATCCTCTTGGTTACTGTATGTCCATTTCTTGACGCCAAGGTCGCGACTTGTCAACCTTATCTTATATCTCTTTCCTGGCTTCAAGTCTAACGCTAAAACGCCCTGGAGATCAACAGCACACAGGTAGACCGTGATATCATGTCTCCAACTCTTTGTCCGATGAACCTGGGACGGAACTGAAATGGAACCTCGATTGCTCGCATCAACCTCACCAATCGAGCTTGCATCCATTTCAACCCATTGCGTAGCTTCCCCGGGGCGTTCTTCATACAGGGTTAGCAGGCCATGCGCCAGTGCGTAAGGCACATCGAAGACTGAACCGACCGTGTCAATAAGTATTGATCGAGGGTCTGTATCAGACTTTTGTATCCGACAAAGACCAAACACTACACTGAATAGTAGCTTCCCTGATGCGTCGAAGACGTTGTAGCGGCTGTGGAGCTGAACGTGAATCGGAAATTTTATCATTGCGGTTCGTATGTGAGAAGAGCAGAAGAGCCTGTGGATACACCGAGAAGTAAGAGTGAAGGGCGTTCCTGAAGATGAGTCATCTTGCAGGTTTTATTCGCTTTCCTATTAGGCCTTGAGTATAAGCACGAGATAAACACTCGTTGTTGCCTGCCGTCGCAGACATGCCACGCGAGTGCCCCACTCCGGATCTCGAACATGACGTCATCCCGCGTTGTCAAAGCCCGAGCTCCTCATGAAACTTGGTCGCATGTGGCTGGGGATCAGGGCCACGCGCATCGGGAGAAACAAGAAACGAAAAGCCGTTGAAGACCCGTCCCGCATATTGAAGACCGTTTTGTTCGCCCTCAATCCGTCTTCGGCAGCGCCTGCCTAGCTACACTCGCTTCCCCATCGCCCAATATGTCCATAACGTCCTTCGACAACAAGCCCGGAACAGGCGGCTTCCTAAAATTCAACTCCGGTCCGCCGCGCATATATCTCACCTGCGCACTTCCGGCACCAGAGAAAGCGCTGCTCTCCTGGCGCGAAGAAGGCTACGACGCGCAGTACCTGCCCTACGACACCAACACGCAAAACCAAACAGCCTACATCCGGTCCCTCAAAGAACTATCCATAAATTTGAACCTGGGCGAGAACTTCGCGATTATAGCTTATGGCGACGCAGCGAGCGTTGTCTTGAAAACAGCACAGAAACCGCTGGCGAAATGCTGCGCAATCATAGCGTTCTACCCAAGCTTGTTACCAAGCCCAAAGACCATGTACCCGAATTCGCACCAGCTGCAAGTCCACATAGCGGGACTCAGCCAGTCTAGCCCAAGACCAGACATGTGCGAATGGAAGCTGTATCGGTACGAGAAGTGTGCCACAGGGTTTGCGGACCCATCATCGCGAGCGTACTCGGAGGTGGAGGCGAACCTGGCATGGACAAGAGCGCTAGCATGTATACGGAAAGGGTTTGGAAAGAACGTGGATCTTGAACCGATTGCGCTGAGCCACTGGAACGCGAGGTTTGAGGACGACGACCCAGATCGCGCGAGTATGAGTGTGGTGAAGAATATGACGCAGGATAGCCCGCATGTCACCATCTTGCCGACTATGCAGGGAGGCGTGGGGAGGAAGAAGCTTGCGGAGTTTTACGGAGAGTTCTTCGTACCTAGTTTGGTTGATGACTTTTCCATACGATTGGTCTCGAGGACTATGGGTGTGAATCGTATAGTGGACGAGATGGTCGTGTCTTTTACACATTCTGACGAGGTTGACTGGGTGCTGCCAGGCGTGCCGCCAACGAACAAGCGAGTGGAGATACCCATGGTCAGCATTGTGGCGGTAAGAGGAGACAAGCTGGTTTCAGAGCATATGTATTGGGATCAAGCTTCTGTTCTTGTGCAGGTCGGCTTGCTGGATCCTAGGATGGTTCCGAAGAAGTTGAAGAACGATAGATTGAAGGCGATGCCTGTCGTAGGGGTGGAGGCAGCAAAGCAGTTGGTTGAACCGCAACAGAACCGATATAACAAGTTACTGCAGATGCACGGTCTCATGGATGGGTTGAATGGTAGCTGAAGAATGTCGCATATTTCCAGCGCGGTGTTTTGGAGTAATGCTTGGAAGAATCGCTTCATCGAGCCTGGAGGCTTTGCTGTAGTTGTTTGGTCAAATTTCCAATACTACTCCTTATGGAAGTTTATCTTCAAGTCAATTCTGGGATTGTCTATTCTCATCCGATGAAACTGCATGTCGGCAGCTTGTACTCATTGAGTACCCAGTACTTCCGCCTCACACCCTCCCATTCACCCTTCTCATCTAGATTTGGTACAGGGACCGTTTCCCATTCTGTGTCGAAACCAGCCTCGAAGAGATCAAACTCAACAATCTTGTTGTAAACATCGTAGACAATCTGGCGATCTGCTCCCATGCCGTTGAAGAAGCCGAACTTCCCTCCTTCGCCGTCGGAACCGCCAGCAGGGTCAAGGAGCCCAATAACGTGTTCTGTGAAGAATTCGCGTAGTGCTTTATACTCTTCGGCGAAGGTGTCAAAGTAGATCGCGTCAAATAGCTCGCCCTTTTCGACAAGACCTGGTACAATCTCCTGCCAGCGGCCCTCGTGGATGACGACGCCCGGCTTCTCGTGCCATCCCTGCTCTTTCATGCGCTTGATGACATCTGGATGCGCCTCAATGATGTGGTGAGCTTTTGGTTTCTTCTCCTGGAAGATACCATCGATGATGCCCATGCCATGACCAACGTTCAGAACGCGAAGCCCTTCTGCCGGCACCAATAATTCGGCAGATCTGCGCATGAGTGTTGTCTCCCACTCCATCATGACTCCATTCGAGGATTCGTCCAGTAATCGGTCGCGGTCGAATGTGAGCTTGGAAGAGAGATAATTCGGGTTCTCAGTTGACTCGTCGCCTTGCGCTTCTTCCTGGCTGATGTCTACTACCTCGACGCCCTCAGCCACTTCTTCAACGTCATCTTCCTCCTCGTCCTCTTCCTCGGAATCATCGTCTCCAAGAAGTTGGTATTGCTCCATGCGACTCAGCAGCATCTCTGCGCGCACGCCTGCGTCGACACAAAGCTCGTATAGTTCCTTTAGGCTCAATCGATGCGCGATGCATCCTGGTGTTTCGCCATTTGAATCCAAGTCGTTCCATATCGCACCGTTCTCGAACAGGAACTTGATGGTCTTTACAGCGCTGTCCATTTCGTCCTTCGCATCTTCCGCCCCGTCCACTGCTTCTCCATTTGTATTTCCATTGACTTGTTTTGCGTCATCTTCGTCGGGCTCACAGGCAGCGATTGCGGCGTGCAGAGGCGTAAAACCAGTCTCGGAATCTTGGACGTTCGCGGAAGAGTTGCGCAGAAGGTTGCGGAGGGAGGCGGTGTCGTGGTTTGCGGCGGCGAGCAAGATGCTTTGCGTCTGCAGATCGGTCTGCGTATCGAATTCCGGGTCGTCCATGATTATGTCAGTAGTGTTGGTGTTGTGTTCTCAAAGTGTCTGGAGGGGCAGTTGAGGGGCCTGGAAATTTACTGAGACGCGAGTCATGCAGGGTCCAGCCGGTAGACATCGCAGCGTCAGTGATCCTCTCCTCAAGGCCAAAGCGACACAGAATTGCATGAATGTGAGTACACTAAAATGATCTTGCAACACACATTCAAGCTCGGATACCCCACTATCAAGTAGTGCGCTATGCATTCCCAAAATATGGCACTACTTTCTCCTCTACAACTCATCGATAACACTTGAGTCCAGCATCTTCTCCAGCTCCTCCCTCGGAGTGATCGTCCTGTTATCCTGCTTCGCTAGATACCCATCCTCCTCGACCAAAAAGTCTATCATCCCATCATCCCACCGTCCACTCCAGTTATGGTGCTTCCAAACAGCCTCCACAACCTCCACATCTGCATCAACAGTCTTAGCCACATATTCAAACACATTCTTCTCCTTCGGCGAATTCGTGAATACGTCCCGTGTCTGGTCAAGCGCCCTCACAAACTCTACAATGTCCTTGCGCCTCGAGGGGTTGTCGAGAGCCTCTGTAGTAGAGAAAAGCGCATAGACTTCTCTGTAGATTGATGCGTTTTGGAAGATGATCGCGTCATCCCCCAAAGCCCTAGCGCCGAGCTCGACAGAAGTTTCCCAAATACCGAACGCATCCAGACTTCCGTTGTTGAGGAGGTACGGAAGAGTATCGTTTGCACACGGCGTCTTCATGCACCACCATGCATTAACCCCTTCGTACTCATGATCCTTCACACCAACACTACTCATCATATTGTGTACGAACACTTCCGCACTCGAACCCAGAAAGCTGCCAATCCTCTTACCCTTCAGGTCTTCAAGTTTGTTGATGCCCTTCCTTCTATCGGCGACGAGGCGGTACGAAACCTCGCAAATGACGTAGATAAGGCGGATGTTACGGTGATCGACATACTGTCTGATACTTGGTGTTTCGGCGTTGGCGCTGAGGTCGACGCTTTGGTTGGGAAGGATGTCGGGGACACCGCCTGATATGAGAATTGCAGGCGTACTGCCGTTGTAGAAGTTCTCGATGGCGTAGGGCTGAGGCGTCCGCTCTATCCAAAGGGGATAGGATGCGATTGTAAGTCCGACAACATGGTGAAGCTGAATGACAACAACGGCGAGTAGAAGGAACGGCAACATCATGCGTTGTGTGAGCGATGAGCTATCTGATTGTGACAATGAAAGGTAATCTTCGAAGCTCGAGCTTATATGTGTCTACTTGCGTCCCGGTTGCTGCGAGAACTCTGTTACGCCGGGTCAATACGAAGTCTTGGAATTCTGCATGCAATTACAGCATCCCGATCGATGACGTCGAAGCAGGGATCAGTGCATTGAAGTGGTTACCCATATAGGATTATTGCAGGGTACATCGCCCCATCTTGGCATTCTACACATAGGCTGTCAAATTGGGGCGTAAAAGAGACGCACGATACTCAAAGCGACGCGGAACAGTCTTGAAGATCTGCTGCATACCACGGTTAGACTGTTGGAGATAAGCTTGCTACTAGAATGCGTTTTAGCCGATGCAGTATGAACGCATGATGAGACAGAAAGCACGTCAGAGGAAAGAACAAAGACATAAAAGCTTCCCATGTCTGATCGGGTCGCTAATGAGATGGAATTCAGATTTGGCTTTCGCCATGCCTACCTATCGTAACGCCGTAGTACCAACATTGTCGGATCGGGTGCGCATTGTACGCATCTGTAGAAGAATGCCAAGGTACGTATATTCGTTGTACAGTAGCCTTAGTGAGACTGTATCCAGCCCAACATTTGACCGAAAGCTTGGGCTTGTGACTGCTTGATCTTGGCATCCTCATAGTCTCCGTATACAGCAAAACCATGAGGTACGCCCTCGAATACCTGGATCTCATGCTCGACTTTGTTCGTCTCCATGGCTCTGCGACCAGGTGTCAATGCGTCTTCTTCGGAGAACATGGGGTCATCTTTGACAGCGGCAATGTAGACGGGCGATTTGACAGCCTCGAGATCCTCCTTGTATGTCATGGTTGGGTGCGCAACAGCGCCAGCCCTGAGAACGGGCTCTTTCTTGACCGTGCCTTGTTCTACATCTTTCTGAGTTTGTTGGCCCCAGGCAACCGTGTCAGGCAGCTCAGATGCCAACATCAGAATGTACTTGGCGCCAAAACAGTAGCCGATGCCATATATGCCTCCACCGTTGGCGATAGCATCGGCGTACTCTTCCTTTGCACTTTCCACAACCTTGTGAAGTAATGGAAGGACCTTCTCGGGAGTATGATAGGCGAGCCACATGTCAATCACGAATTTCTTGCTGACCGATGCGGCGCCTAGCTTGAACGATTCCAGCCATGATGCTTCCTTGGGTGTCTCTGTCATATCAACAGTATTCGGAGCTGGGTCGTTGTCGAACTGATCGGGCATGACGACGAGGTAGCCTTCCGAAGCGTACTTGTCAGCCTGTAGCTGGTTGTTTGTAGACTTGACGCCGGTGCCGCCTGTAAGCATAAGCAGGAGCTTTGAGGGCGAGTGTGGGTAGTCGGCCGGTTTCGCGATGTAGCATTCGACGCCGCCTAGCTTTGTGAGGTCGCCGGTAGGTTTCTCGCCGGAAGGTGTTGGACGGTCTGTGGTGCAGTGTTCCTGGATAATCAGTATATGGAAGTAAGAGCTGGGGCACTAGATGCAGGTATCCACAACACACTCAAGGTGTCTTGAGCAACAGAAACTCGGGCATGCATATGCAGCTTCCCGTGACAATGACTTGACTTACACCCATGCTTGGCCCTTCTTGCGCTCTGGTGTCTCCGGGGAAGACGCTCTCCGCTGCTGCCTCTTGAGGTTGCTCTTGGGGCTTCTCCTGCGCATCACTCTCGGGTGCGCGCGTAGCGATGTCGTTGTCCGCCATGATGTTTGCAGATCGTGTAGTGTTGAGTCGTTATACGCGAAAGCTGGTATGAGTGAGCTGCAGCTGGCTGTGAAGGGTCCAAGCCAATTACGTAGCCCCGCACAGCCCCAGAGCCACTTGGACGCGTGGATGCGGCTAGAGCGGGGCCACTGAGTCACGTGTCGAGACGCGTCGACGCGCTTTCTCATCTTCGACGTGTGCCCGCCACCGACACACGCCATCTCAACACCACGCAAACACACACATCACAGTCACCATGGCAGAGGGAGCAATCACGCAAGGCGCTATTCAGTGAGTAATGGAATGATGAAGAATTCTATGTCGCACTCTGACACCGCCTAGGAGCATCTTCCAGCCCAGCGGCTGCTTCGTAGAAAATCCCGTCCTGCAATGCGTGCAGATCAAGACTATGGAGCCCAAGGCGGGCGAGGCCAACCCAGTGCAGCGGTTCCGCGTCGTCCTGAGCGACATTCGCAACTTCATACAGACTATGATCGCGACGAGTAAGTCAAGCGCAGGCACTATGTAGACGTAGCTAATCGCGTGCAGCCGCCAACGACATTGTCACTTCTGGTCAGCTTAAGAAGGGCTCAATAGTTCGCCTCCTCAAGTACAACCCTCAACGCGTCAAGGACAAGAAGTACGTATTTCTACACCTTAGAACAGTTCTGCGCTGACAATCGCTAGCATCCTGATCATCATGGAACTGGAGGTCCTGTCGCAGTACGGCGAACTCGACAAGATCGGACAGCCCGAAGCTCTCGACACCAAGGCCGCTGAGGCACAACCCGCAGCCATCTCAGGCAACAACTTCTACGGATCGAAGCCCGCGCCTGCCCCTGCCCCTCAACAACAGCAGCGATCCCTCCCTACTCACCAGAGCAATCCCGGTACTTCCTCGCATCCCAACCTATACCCTATCGAATCTCTCTCGCCATATGCACACAAGTGGACTATCCGCGCACGATGCACAGCCAAGAGCGATATGAAAGAATGGCACAACCAGAAGGGAACGGGCAAGCTGTTCAGCGTAAACCTGCTCGATGACACTGGCGAGATCCGAGCCACGGCTTTTACCGAAATCGCTGATAAGCTTTACCCCGTCTTCGAGGTGGGCACCGTATACTACATTTCAGCACCCTGTCGAGTCACGCTTGCTAAGAAGCAATTCTCCAACCTGCCCAACGACTACGAACTGCAATTCGAACGCGATACCGAAGTTGAGAAGGCGGAGGACCAGGAGAACAAACCACAGATCCGATTCAATTTCACCAAGATTGGTGACCTGAATACCATCGAGAAGGACGCAACGGTCGATACTATCGGTGTTTTGAAGGAGGTCGCAGAGGTTACTACGATAACATCGAAGAACACCAACAAGGACTACAGCAAGCGAGAGTTGACACTAGCCGATGACAGCCAGACGTCTGTCAGACTTACCATCTGGGGCAAAGCTGCCGAGAGCTTCGAAGCGCCGCTGGAATCAATCATTGCATTCAAGGGAGCCAAGGTCTCCGACTTTGGCGGACGAAGCCTGAGTTTGCTGAGCTCTGGAACTATGATGGTAGATCCAGACATTGATGAGGCTCACAAGCTGCAAGGATGGTTCAACGCTGCTGGACAGACTGCGACATTTTCTACACACCAGAACTTGACCTCGGCTTCAGGCGGTTCCAAGAACGAAGTCAAGCCCATCTCGGCAGTCATCGAGGAGGAAGCATACCTCCAAGACACGCCCACATGGCTAAGCCTCCGAGCATCTGTCTTGTATGTCAAGAATACTACCATTGCATACCCCGCGTGCTCGACGCAAGGTTGCAACAAGAAGGTCATTGAGGAGAACCCCGGTGCCTGGTGGTGCGAGAAGTGCCAGGCTACCTTCCCTGAACCTCAATACCGCTATGTGCTTAGCGTCAACGTTGGCGACCACACCGGCACGCTGTGGCTCAGCTGTTTCGACGAAGCTGGACAGGACATCGTCGGCATGTCGGCAAACGATGCCATGAAGATCAAGATGGATGATGATGAGAACAACACACAAAACTTCATGAATGTCATGCAAGAGGCTACATGCAAGACGTTCAACTTCAGGGTGCGGGCGAAGATGGAGACATATCAGGACCAGCCAAAGTAAGTATACTGCATGTCATGTTTTGATATCTGCTAACATCTTCCAGGCCGCGATACCAGGTTCAGAACTTGAACAAGCTCAACTACGCCGCGGAGGCCAACAAGCTGGCTCAGCTCATCAAGCAGTACAACATCGACGACGACACCTTGTTCGTAAACTGAAGTAGACCATGTCTCTTCCCAGCAACTGCATCGCGTGCGGTAGTATTTAGCCATGTACATGAGAGCTTCAAATGATGGATGTTAGATAGATGCACACGACGGTACGCGCGGACAAACGCACAAACGAAGCAAGTTGTACCATACCATTATGAGTTTATTGCCGCGGCCTATGTTGTCCGACCCCACCATAGCTCAAGCTCAATGACTAGCTGCCCCTCAAACGTCATTACCAATCATTTCCGTAGCTACCGGAATGGCCTCGGAACAGACTACCACTTTCCTTATGAATTTCTGACACTCTGACATTCTGACAATCTCTCTGACAACCCCTTACTAATTGCAAAGCGCCACCTTTCTACATTTCAATCTACTCGTCTTCATTTTCAGCGGCCAACAAACCCCATCGACTATTACAATGAGCGACACGATGCGCGCAGTAGGTGTGTACCGACATTATTGTACTTTGAAACGCCGAATTCGCTAACTTTGCGAAGATATCAAAGATGGCAAAGGCCCAATCGAGAACCTCCACATCACCGACATCCCCAAGCCGAAGCTCGGAAAGTCGCAAGCGCTCGTCAAGATCAAGGCTTTTGGTCTGAATCGCATGGACCTATTGCAACGTGAAGGAATGTACCCAGTACCCCCTGGTGCTTCCAAGATTCTCGGCGTAGAATTCTCGGGTACAATCGCAGAGTTGAGCGCAGAGGGTGGAGGCAAGGAAGGCTTCAAGGTGGGAGATGAGGTTTTTGGTCTGGCATATGGAGGAGCGTATGCCGAGTACATTGCGGTGTCAACACATATGCTGGTACGGAAACCAAAGGAGTTGACTTGGGAGCAATGTGCGGGTATTCCTGAGGTGAGTCAATGCCTTTTCGTAGCGTCCAGCGCACCGTATATTATCGTTTTGCTAACAAAGTCCTCGTAGACCTGGATCACAGCAACCCAAGCCATGTACCTCGTCGGCCAATTCGCTGCCGGCAAAACCATCCTCTGGCACGCAGCCGCCTCTTCAGTCTCGATCGCCGGTATCCAACTCTCCCTCGCCGACAACGCTTCCGCCGTCTACGCAACCGCCCGTCAAGACGCCAAATGCGACTTCGCCGTCAAGCAACTTGGTGCAACCGCTGCATTCAACACAACATCTCAGAACTGGGCTGAAGAGGTCATGAAGGCAACAGATGGCAAGGGCGTAGACATCATCGTCGACTTCATTGGTGCATCGTACTTCCAATCGAACCTCGATGCTATTGCCAAGGATGGTGTTATCGTCAATCTGGGCTTCATGGGCGGTACTAAGGTGCCAGAGGGTACTGATATCAGCGCATTCATCAGGAAGAGGTGTACCTTTGTGGGAAGCAGTCTGCGATCGAGAGACGAGGAGTACCAGGGCAAGCTCAGGGATCAGCTTGTAGAGCATGCGTTGCCTAAGATGAAGGATGGGACCTTCAAGCTGTTCGTGGAGAAGGTGCTGCCGTGGGAGAAGGTGCAGGATGCGCATAGACTGTTGGAGGAGAACAAGACTAAGGGCAAGGTCATCTGTACTATCGATTAGGAGGTAGTCTAATGTAGAAGGGTATCGTAGGGAACGAGATCACGAGAGATCAGCCAATAACCTCAAGTCTAATCACAACATTCAACAAGATACAGGAGAACTTGAACTATGTCTTTAGTACACCTTGACTATTGCTCCACATGCTACAGCACCATCGCATTTGTTTGATGTTCCTCAAAAGACAAGATTACTGCAGGCTTCGTATTAATGTTCTAACGTTCAAGCCCAACTCCCCCGTCCCCCAAAAAAAGGAACCCTCACAACACCTCGCCGTCAACACCACCACCACAAGCCCGCCGCTGGAGCAAAAAGACGACGTTGGCCAGATTCGAACTGACGCTCCCGAAGGAACAAGATTTCTAGTCTTGCGCGATAACCACTCCGCCACAACGCCCCCGGATGCGACACCTGTGTGATTCGAACACACGCTCCCGAAGGAACTGGCTAACTTCCCTCGATACTGAGGACTAGCAGGCCAGCGCGTTAACCACTCCGCCAAAGTGCCAGACAATTGATTGCTGATTGATGAAGAAACCTGGAATTGGTGTATGTATATTCCCAAGAATCAAATGCCGACGTTAGGGGTCGAGAACTGAAATTCTGGGCGGATCAAGTAAAGGAGAGCTAAAAATGTTGAGTTGTTGCGACAGGAAGGTGGGACGTGTTCGTGGGGCTGGAGGTTTGACGGGTAATCGGGCGGTAAGTGCGGGGACGTTGAGCTGAATTTGTACTTAGCAACTTCCAACATCTTACCATCACCCCATCACTATTCGACAATGGGCTTTCGAGGAATACAGTGCTCCAATAAGTCCCGAAATCCGAATGCTGGTTCATTGAGTATGTTGCTTTCCATACCTAGGTACATGTTTTAAGGTGATCGTCGTTAGCCTAAGCTGCCGGCAAGCAGCAAAACAAAAGGGGGAAGATCATGTATAAAGTGGATGGACGACCTTGGTAGTATAGCCACGTACCTATGTATTTGAGCCTCGCGGAAGAACTGACTACTGACCGGTCAATCCACTGACTACTCAACCATGACTAACTGACTGACAACCTGGGAGAGCCGACATCAACAATCCTGTCCACGGACGGCTTCGCTGCGTCTCTTGTCATCCCACCTCATGCCTTCGCCTCCGCTTCGAAAGCCCTCACTCGCTCGGCGAAATCGTCTCTTCTCTTGTCAATCTGACGAGATCCAAGTTCGAGAGTTTGCAAGATAGACTTGGCGCAAGGGCCACTTGACTTCTGGACCTTGTCGTACATAATTTTCATCTCTTTCGCTTCCTCCACCAATATGGCTATGCGTCTGCCCAAAATCTTCAACGCAATCCCGAAGCCAAACTCGCGAGTATCTGGATCTCTCAAACAGCCGATCGCTGATAGCATTCGTTTGGCATCTGCTGGCGCATAACCCACGATTTGGCTTCTTACCCATTCCAAGAACTCGAATGTGTCCACAGGAGGAACCTCTTGTGGGCTCGCGCTCGAATTTGAAGTCTTTTCGCGAGGGACTTTGCGTGTGTACGTTGGTGGGTTGGTGAGTCGATAACGGTGGTTAGGAGGAACCTCTGGCTGTGTGGGCATCGGTGGACCTCTCAGATCTGCAATTCTTCCCCCAAGAAACGTTGGTGATAGGGCCCTTTTTGATGCTCGAGCTGCATCGTTACCGGTGTGTTTACGCTTCAAATTCTTCGCATTTGTAGTCGCCGAAGAATGCAGACGTTTCGAGTTGGTGTTTTCGCAGTGGGAAGAGCTGTCTGTAGGCACCGGTGTACCTCTCAAATCTGCCAATCTGCTCATAGGAAACGCTGGTGATGATGACCTTTTCGACGCTCGTGACTTTTTCGGCGCTCGAGCTGCATCATCGCCAGCGCTTTTTCGCTTCAAGTCCGTCGCATTTGTAGATGGCGAAGGATGTGCACACTCCGAGTTGTCGTTTTCGCGGTATGAAGAGGTGGGATCGACATTGTCCGTGGACAGAAGCTTTGGAATCGCAATTTGAATGGATCCTGGCAAGTCTCCGTTGGTGAGCTCCAGGTCGTATAGTATGAGGATGGCCTTCGGCTGTACAGTCTCGGGAATATCCTGCCTCGCCATCGCGTTATCAGCACCAGCGTCGGCGCTGTTTTGATCGTTATCCATCTCTTTTCGAAGTGCAAGCCGCAAAGGATGGGGCGAGGTGGCGTGGGAACAGGCAGTTAAGGAAAGGCGGAAAGACCTTGTATGGTCGCAGTAGCTCCAAATCTGCCTTCACCTTTTCTCGTCTCTCACCTTCACTTACGAAACAGGCAGTCACCTCGGCCTTGGCGCTTTCAACAGGGCCAAGCGGAGCCCTCGACTGACCGAATGCTCATCTCAACGAAACAGAACTCCCGCAACACACACGAGATATACGATGACTGAATCCGCCCATTAAATAATGGAAGGGATGAGAAAGAAGCCAACGAAACAGAACTTACGCACAATATGACCATTGGCCCAAGACCGAATTGCGAACAATTGACGAGATAGGTAAAGTCATCGTTCAGCTGACATTCGGAAGCCTACTTGGAGGCCACATTCCACCTACATGCGACGATTCAATACATCAGCTACCTTCCAACGATTACGATACCGTGGTTCTATCAGGATATACACTACAAGTCCGGCCCCGGAACTATCCCTGGAGCTAGCAACACAATGAAGGTTTGCCCTCTCAGCACGGAAATAGTGGGTCTGGGCAGTTCGATGTCTTTCCACGTGGGCGGTGGAGCGCACCTGTGCAGTTCACGTGCGTGACGCGCCGTCTCGCCAAGATCACGACGCGTCGCGAGACAAGATTCTTCCTCCCACCGCCCTTCAATCTCGACGGCCAGAGATATCGTACTGCAGGTGGAGTGGACCTCTAGCAAGGTTGATGGTGCGACAGGAACTCTTGAACGCAAGCCAGTCTGTAATTTCGCAACATACAAGATGTGGGTCGTCGGGTATTCACGATGACAGCAAAGAAAGAGACACTGACAGCAACCACAGTGGTGATTGGTGATCTTCAAGATGACGAGAGCCCTTTCGGTAACGATGCGGACTGGCAGGCGGCTCTACGCGATGCTCGCGCTATTCTGACCGAGCGGGACGTCATCACTGTCTATTGGAACTCCGAGTTGATGCCCGGCGCGCGGAGGAATGTGATGAACTAGGACCACTTCGGAGACCTATACTACCACGGTCGCAAGATTAACCGAATGGAACGTCTACAATATAGTCAACCACCCAGAGCTCGAAGGGAGCGCCTCTTGTTTGACCCCAAGCACGCAACTTATGCGTCAGCCCGAGCAGGTCATACCATTGTGGTGCCTACATACAGTCAGCTTCAAGCTATCGAAGACGGCAAGAAGGAGCCAGGAGAACGCGATAGACGCTTGAGGACCATCTTGGACGAAGGACAATGCATCCGCAAGTGCGACGAGACGAGGCAAGCCGGCATACCAATCAGCTGAAAATCGACTGTGACGTCTACAACTACGGCGAAGAAGCTGGTGCTCGTAAGGAGCGACTTCTCTTCGACAAAAGGCACAGCGTCTTCACGGGGGCTCGTGCGGGACACACGGTTGTAGTGGCAAGCTACAGCCAGCTGCAAAACCTAAAGGATACCGAGAGTGCGCATGAGCAGCGGCACAAGCTTTTCCTCCGCATCATTCTTGACGAAGCTCAATGTATCCGTAGATGCGATCGGACCCGCCAAGGCAAGATTCTCATGTCATTCGATGCACATTTCAAGGCCGTCTTCACAGGATCTCCTGTGGTAGACACTATCCTGGACTTCGATGGGTACTTGGCGTTCCTAGAGTTCGTCGGATGGGGATGGGTCGCCGATTTGACTCAACCCACAGCACCGACGAGGTTCGAAAATCACGGTACGACAAGTTCAAGGAAGGCCTGGCTACCGGTGTCAACAACCGCTCCGAGCCCCTCGAAGATTGGCACAGCGACTGCAGCTCAGTGGACGAGCCAGATGCTCAACAGATCAAAGAGTCAATCGAAGAAGGGTGGCAGTGCTCCCACTGGCCTGCACTCGTAAGATACAACGGTGATCGACCACCAAGCCTGGTTCGCAATGACAGGAGGAAAATCGACGGCAAGACTATCGTGAAGGATGTTTCACCTCCAGTTCAGGAGAACCCCAACGACATGTACTATCCCAGGGTCTTGGATAGTAACAAGTACTACTCGATCGCTACTTTCAGGCACTAGATCACACTGTCGTCAAGGACCGCTCTGAGCTGATCGAGGGTTGGAAGAGCGACTACAACTCGATGGACGGTCTTGGCGACATGGAGATCGGGACAGAGATCTCGTACGGCTGGTATTGTGCGTACTAGACCGCGCTGCTGAAGTGCCACCGCGACCAACCGTCAAGTCTCGACCGTAAATCACGGCAGAAGGTGGATGGCCGATCAGTACTGGTAGACATACCAGCACCTTTCCCAGAAAATGCATACGACAATTACCACCCGCCAATCTTGACGGCTTGAAGTGCTGTTCAACAGCAGCATTCCGTTACTACGTTGGAAGGCATACCAAGAAAGCCATCATGGATGAAGTGGATGTAAAGATCGTCGCCACACGCGTCCACAAGATCCTTGCCATGTTGGTTCTGTCAAGAAACCTGTTCAGTAATGACGTTGTTGAGGCCAGAGAGAACATGAACCTTGTTTTTGGTTCACGCTTTCGTGATATAGGCTTTCAGGAGCGTACAATCCCCTAAATTCACCTCTCCAGCGAATTAATCAATCAGCTGGGAGAAGACACTAGCTTTACCGATGGTTTGATCCCTTGGATAATACATATTTAGAAGCCTACAATCTAACAAGAAGATACCGGCTATTAATATATAAATATTGCGGAGGAATACAAACCATCTACAGTTGTCTGACATTTTGATGGCGATACCTTGGGTAGCTACGTGGAAGCGTACGGACGCCAAAAAAGCCCAGAAATGCAGTGCATCTAAGGCCCAGCTCCAATCTCTCCAAGTCATCGGTGCTCTGCACGCACATCGGATTCTCAGGGCTCGAATGTCAATATGGGCAATTCGCGCGATGCGAAAGGAGGGTCTTCATCTTCTCACCGCCAGAATGAAGAAAGCTGGAGCCTTGAACTCGGAAGATAAGAACCGCCCACTGCAAAGCGATGGAACGATCCTGTGTCAGTCATTGTGAAGAAGCCCTGACTACCGTTGACGAGTTGGCAGCCTATAACAAGCGAGAAGACAGATACTAGCGTGAGTTTGCCGAGCACTTCGAAGCGGCCTTGTTGGCAAAGAGCGCGAAGGTGAAGGACTCCAAGACGGACTTAGCAAAAATCGGATCCAAGTTCGCAAAGCTTTTGATGCTGTGTACGCACACCGGCTTCTCCAGGCTCGACAAGATGTCGACGGCGGCAATCGGTGCGCAGCGACGCGAGGGTCTCCCTCTGCTCCCTGCCCGCGTGAAGAAGGCGGGAGCCCTGAACCCGTAAGACAAAGACACTCCGCTCGACAGTGACGAGGAGGTCTTGCGCCAGTTCCTCTGGGGCTCTCCGAAGATGCGCTTCCTTATATGGGAGATCCAGCGCGTGGTCTTGGGTAAAACCAAGGTCGCCAGCCACAGGAAGCTGCTCCTGAGCTTCCAATTTCCTCGATCAGCCGAAATGTGCCTCAATTTGTAGAATTGGTGGGCATTCACCTGGACATCAAGATGTCCGCCGATGATCGTCTCAAGAGCATCCGAGCCTTTGACGAAAAGGACTTGCCACAAGTCCTCATCACCACTTACGCGCTGAACATCGCCGGCCACGACGCGCAGCACCGATGTGCAACAGTACATCACGTCGAACCGGCCTTCAATTGGGCTACAGAGCACCAGGCAGGCACGAGGGTCTACCGGATAGGTCAAGACCAAGAGGTCGAAATTGTGCGCTTGTTCACGGAAGGTACGTACCAAGAGCTGCACGAAGCTGGTATGATCAAGAAGGCCAACTCCATGTTTGCCGCTTTTGGTGAGCTGCAATCTGCAAGTGAGGGCCTCGAGGACCGGGAGAAGATGACGACAGAGGAGATCGCGAAAGGTGCATTTGGCATAGTCCGGGATCGTGTGCGGGGCCGCGACGACAAAGACGTGCAATCAGCCAACGAAGATGCTATCACAAAGGCCAAAGGCAAGGGCAAGGGCAGATCGGCAGATTAGGTCGGCTCTGATCGTGCGATTGTTGATCGAGGGCATCTACCAGAGACGCCACGAAGCCGGTGTGGTCAGGAAGGCGAATTCTGTATTTGCGAATTTTGGTCAGCTCCAATCCACCAGCGACAGATATGCCTTTGGAGAGGAGATAGCTTTTGGAGGACTTACAAGTGACACGCATGAGTCCGCTGGAAGGCTACGTTGCAGTATGAATAGGGATGATCCAGGCCAATACGTGCACTAGAAAGCTACAACTAGAGTTGCCAGGTTGTTAGCTGTCTATGAGAGAATAGCCAGGAAGCTACTATGCAGTGCACATCGGTGTAACTAATTGTCAAAACTAACCGAGAAGATTACAATAGCTATCGTTAAGATGTATCCTATAACTAAACAACGGCTAGGAGATAACATATCGCGTTGGCGGCGATAGAGCGTGCCCACGTTGAGCGACTATTGAATACGTAAAGCCATCATTGAAAGGGCAATAGGGCAACAAATAGCCTGCAGAGCCCATTGGATTCGTGCGTCTTCCCGGTGCCACAGCCGTCACAACAAAGTAGGGCTCGGTAAAGGTACTCTATGAGAGTCGGCCAGTGGAGGCCGAAGATCTGGTGGCGTTTGTAGACGTCTCCTGACCGCTGCTCACCTAATCGTAATAGATCCTCGCTCCTCCTAGCGGAAGACACTCGATGATCTCGGCGTTGTCACCGAGCTGCCCTCTCAGGACCATCTTGGACCTGGCAACGTCTTCGAACAAAGGGTTTGACGTAGTCTACCACGTGCCTGTCTAGACCCTGAAGGATACAGCGCAAGTACTTCTTTCATCCGCTTTTTGTAGAATATCATGTATGCTCAACCCTCTACTGTCTTTGTCGAGATGAGTGCCAGCAACGTCTTTGTCTCCGCCTCGTATAGACGAGACCGTAGCACGAAACACGCTAGTCTTCTACCTCCTTCTCGCCAATCATTCTAGCGAGACCTTTTCAACTGATGTCGTCCGAGAGTTCCTCGCCATATAACATAGTACATGCTCTGCCGGCGTAACAATGAAACAGGTAAATGGTAAGAAGATGAAAGAATAACGAGGACATCGTAGCTTCGTAAGGTCGCAAATATCAGGTATGGTGTAGTGGTGATGATCGAGATGATCGACGTCGTTGTGTTACTCATGCTGGTCCGAAAAAGTTGGTCAATACGCCAGTCGGAACCACGGGCGATTTCTTTGGGCCACGTTTTGACTTCTTGAGCACGCGTTGTGGGTCGCCGTTCCGCTCGATCAGGCGACCGTTGTGTGCTTGAACGTAGTCTTTCCAGTCCTAACAAGCTCTCCAGGCCTCCAGTAGGTTCTCGATGGCGTCAGCTACCGCCGTGTCCGAGTACAATTCCGCAAGAAGGTCGTGAGACTCGAAGAAACCATAGTAAAAGCCGAAGTCTTGCCGAGAGAAGTATGCTGCGATCATACCATACACCAACTCAGTCTCGCGGACGATGAGCGTGAAAGACGGAGAGCGCTGGAGTCATGGCAGGATGAGGTCTGCCTTGCATGCGAAGTCATCTAAGCCGATGGAGATGAGGAGAGGCTCGATCCCGCGAGCGGCGGAATCCTCCAAGGTTTTATCGATGGCACGGGTAAACTTGTGCGCTTGTGATGTATAGGCGCGTAGAGTGTTGTCAAAGATGTAATGTATTTTGACAGCCTTGGGCATCGGGAAGACGGATGTGTGAATCTTGTCCTTGGCCAAGAAAGTTCCACGGAGGCCGCTTGTAACATCACAGTCGGCCAGACGGGTCGATGGTCGTGTGCGCTTGGCAGTACTTTCCCGTTGAAGCGCATGACGTGTGGACGTCATACAATGCAGTAAGTGTTCCCGAGACATCCAGGTCGCTACCGTGGTCATCAAGTAACGTGTCGAAGACTTTTCTGGTGAATAAAGGTAGGCCTTTTGCCATGTCTTCTTCTCCAGACCTCCATGCTTTCGGTGCGCCACTGGAAGACCTTGCCACGGCGAGCACGCCTCTCCCATTGCCAGTCTTCGATTGAGGTAGGTATTCAGCCCGATGAACGCCGTCAAATCGCGCGTACTTCGAACTCTCCTCGCCCTTACACCTGGTCTCGTGTGAAGCTAGAAGGTACAGGTCGTACCAAAGCTTTGGGCATTTACTGCATTCATACAGTCCCCTCATGTCGTGGACATGCATGCCAACATGAGTGTCATACGCTCAGATGTCCTCTTGTTTCCTTCGCTGTATTATCGTTTTCGGTGCCCGGCTAGCAAATAGAGGCCGCACCGGTGAAGCATTCGCCACTTTGTCGTCTTCTGGGGGCCTCATCCGAGAGACTGGGTGACTGCAAACTCCGACGTTGTCGCCAGGGTGGTTGTTGCCAGTTCCTTGAAGAACTGACAGTGTCATGTATCCTCCTGCCCTGCTCGTACAATAGCAACCCGTGCCGCCATGTTCAGTCCCAAATGAGAACGTTCTCCAACACAAGTCATCGCTCATGAACTGCATCATGTCTTGACGTATGATTGCAGCAGGCTTGTCTTCGAGGCTGAGGCAGCCATCTCGCCATTCAATGAACAAGGGCAATGAAGGTAAGACCGTCTGTGTGACCCAGTTTCTGACGTCGCGCTCTTCAAATCCAGTTACGGCGCTCCAAGTTCTCAGGGTCAGGTGGTATTCCTTCTCACCAAGCTCGTTGATCTTGTAGATACCGGTGATGAGGTACGCGCGGGTACCTTCGAAGGTTGGGTTTCGTCATGGTGCAAATGGAGATGGGTAGACGGGCAAGGTCGCCAATATGTCTTAGCTGCAGGGATTGATGGCGGATCGAAAATGGTGGAGGTGGTGGAGGTGATGGGCGTGGTAGGGCTGGTGAGGGTGGTGAAAGTAGTAGAAGCGGCGGAGGTATTTGGAAGTGTCAGAGGTGGTACAAGCGCTAGACTGCCCAGGTGAGCACGTACCCGTCAGTCCGCAGTCGCGGTGCTTGACGGACCGCCCAAAATCAATTGCGCCGCCACAGGCCGGCGACAACGCTTTGTCTGGCTTTAACCTTCCGAGGAGGCTCTCGTTGAAAAAGACGTCGGTAAACAAGCGCACAATCTCGACATGTTCTTTTTAGCTGATACGGTACGCGACCATAGCTCTGTAAGTTCTGTTTAGCACCACCAATCACAAGCAACAAGCGATTGCCCACGTTTATTGCACAGTATGCGATAATATTTGGATTCAGATCCCGCAGGTAGGTATTTCTGAAATAGGTCAACAATGCCTTTGCAGCTTCCCAAGCGCCAAGATACGCTCACATGCCGACGATTCGTCTACCCGGCCACATGCGGCGCGAACCCATCGCACTTTCCACTCACCTAGCCAGCCCCTTCGGTCCCGCCCACTCGCCCTTGACATGATACTTCCCATAAACCCACGGAAAGAAGTCCTTCTTCAGCCAGTAAAACGCCTTCCGCGGCACTCCCTGATCAATTCCCAATAGCCCATTGAACGTCTCCTTCGGCACACCCCCATACATAAACTCCGCAAGCAACACCTCCTTCCTCCCTGTCAGCAACGGACAAGACGTGTACCCGTCGTAACTAGCCGTCAGCTTCTTGCCCTCCATCGCTGAGAGTACGTTAGACACCAACACCGGTGCTTCAGCCGTGATGGCAGCCACGGTTTTAGATGTCGGTAAAGAGGACGCGTCGCCTATGGACCAGATGTTGGGGTAAGAAGTGTGTTGCGTTGTAGAATCCGAGACGGAAACGTAGCCTGCTTCGTTGGCGAGAGCGCTAGATTTGATGAACCCCCAAGGCACGTTCTTGGGCGCGACGTGCAGGAAGTCGAAGTGTTTCTTCACAGGGGTGGGGGAATTGGGGGATGTGAAGGTTGCGGTGTTGCCGTTGATGGAAGTAAGGTCGTGTTGGAAGAGACCTTCCACGCCGCGTTCCACGCGGAGCTTTTCGAGCGTTGCTGCGCTGGTGGGGTGTTAGCACATTTCTGCCTCGTTTGCATGCTGGCAGGTAGAGGAGACGACTTACTATTTCGGCACACCGAACATCGTAGGCAATCCCGTCGCAAAAGTGACGTTGATATCCTTCGGATACAGCCCAGCATCCTTCCAGTAATCCAACGCAAGCCACATGATCTTTTGCGGCGCGCCCGCACACTTGACCACGCCGGCTGGCTGCGTAAACACTGCATCCCCCTTTTTGAACTTCTTTACATTCTCATACGCCTTATCGCAATACGCGTAGTCGTAGATCGTGCTCACCATGGCATCTTTCTCCTCCAACGCCTCTTTTAATCCACTCACACTACCATAGTCAAGCGTGATGCCGGGCACAACAGCCAGCTGTTCATACCCGATCTTCTCGCCGTTACTGGTCAGGACGTAATTTTCCTCTGGTGCAAAGCTTCCTACAGCGCTGTTGTAGAATTTGAAGCGTGGATCCATGAGCTCTTTCAAGGGGCGGCGTAGATCTTCTTTCTTTTTTAGACCGCCGCCTACGAGCGTCCAGCCCGGTTGGTAGTGGTGCCATTGCGCGGGGTCGATGATGGCGATGTCGTCTTGGGAAAAGTTTCCTTTGCGCAGGAGTTGGTGAGAGAGGGATATACCGGCTGAGCCGCCGCCGATTACGACGATTTTGTGGTTGCGGGTCGTTGTTTGTACTGGTGATACGGTTGCTAGATTGCGGATGGTGTGTCGGAAGGCTGGTCGCGTGATCTTGGTCGCGGTTTGCGATGCACGTTTGAGGGTTAGTGCGGACATGGTGGCTGGGTTTGGCGACTGCCCGCGATGACTAGGAAGGGAAAAGGAAAAGTGGAATGTAAAGACAGACAAGAAGGCTTACACAGGGAGGTATGCGGTGCCTCCGGTCTCCGACTAAACATTTCATGCCATGTGGGTCAGCGGCTAGCATCTCAGGACCAACCAATGAATGAAGTGGAGATGGGCACTAGCGTGATCACGACATCGTCGAAAGAGTAAGCCAGCAGTCACAACCAAAAAC